AAGCCGAACTGCAGTTGCCGTTACAAAGTGGTGATAAAGCGGCAACTGTTCCTGTCGCCAATGAGGGTGCTTCCATGATAGCTCACAGGACAGGTCTTGCTCTTCGCGGAGAGGCCGGTTTTGGGAAGGAGAGCCGGCTTGTGGCGCTCTTCGAAGAGGTCTATAACCCTCGCAGACGAAATTCCCGGTGGAACAACGATTACAAAATGGTTTTGCTTCGTCGCACTTTACGCGTCGCTTAAGACAAGTCAAGCAGCCGGTACGTACACGTCTGTCCATGACTTTCAAACCTTGGCTTGCATATGCAGGTGTGAAATTCGGTAAGTGAAGACTGTTTGACTTCGAAGCGGGGTGTAGGGGATGTAAAAGCTCTATATAAAGGCGGCGATGAATCGTCACACTTTCCAATTTTAGCTGCTCCACCTAGGTCAGCATGAACAACAGGGCCGTGAATTCTGCCCGCTCTTACCACACGCGGTAAGCACTAGTATACTCCTTTCAGAGTGGAGCTTCTAGTTGTGAATACTTCAATTATGCGAATATACACGAAGGTTGAAAGTGTATTTACATCATAAATTCTAAGTCGCACATCAATTTCCTTATCTTTGCTTCCCCCCACTCCCTCCCCGCCCAGTGCCTATAGAGTAGATAGAAAAAGATGGAAATTTAAACTAAAATTGGAACGCTAATTTATACAGGACCTAACTATACACAGGTCATTCGCTTTTGACTATTATGTAGGTCATGAATATACAATCGTTGCGCCCCTAACCCCATTCCTCCAACCCCTATACCATAGGTCCTAGGCTGGGCAGTCATGCCCCCCAAAAATGCAATGCGACCACAACGAGACTCCTCTATCTATCCCTTTCTGCTTCTTCACCTCTTGCTCCCCTTCTTCTTCTGCGCCTCCCCAATCTCCTGCACCGACAAATCCAACTCCGACACATCCTCAAAATTCGCATTCGGCGGATCGCGATCAAGCAGATACGCAAAACGCGTCACATTGTTCATGACGTACATCGGGACATCGACGTTGCGCTCCACGCGGTCGTAGGTCTGCCAGTAGCGATCGAACAGATCAAGTCCATTGCGGACGCGGCGCAGGATTCCCGCCTTAGCGCGGTACTTCTCCTGATTGTACTCTGCGTGCGAGAAGGAGGCAAGTTTGTTGAGGAGAGTGGAGATGTGCGAGAAGCACGACGAGCAGTGCCACGCCGCGTTCCAGAGATCAGCGGACTCGCCGATACGCGTCAGCGGGTTGCCGCCACGGCCGGAGCGCAGGTTTGAGGGTGACAGCGTGGTCTCGCCGGTGTAGAAAGTTGCT